ACCTCACCCAGCGCCTGAACCGGCCACGACGGCCTCGAGGTCAGCGGGTGCTTACGCCGCGTTGCCCCTCCAGCCCTTGGCCTCCTTGCAGCCCGGGCAGTTCGTGGTAGTAACAGATCTTTCAGTTACTGTGACAGCAGTCAACGAGTTACAGCTACTTTTTAAAAAAATTCCTTGCAAGCAGCTTGTTGAAGCCCACGCACTCCGTCGCTAGGTCGGGCAAGGCCGCGTTCGGCACTAATATCCTACCCTCAGAGAGCCGAGCGATACCCCACCCCCAAATCCCTACTGCAGGCATTTGCCTGAAACATAAAGCGTGTTTTACCTAAACAAGCTCCTCGGCAACGGTGGTTCTTTCTTTTCCTTTTAAAGCCAAAACCTTCTTCCTCTGCCTTAGCGTTTTCCATCGTCGAAAAAGGCAAGGTGATACCCCATTTACTGCAGAACTGATAAGCCTATCTCACAGTGGAAGGAATTTGAGTATTGATAGTGAGGTGCAGCTTAATAGTTGATGACTCAAGTATCCATAGTTCCTCCATTTTATAAGCGGTTATTGAAACAAAAAAGTTAATCGTAGAAGATACCGCAGAATACGATACACTACACTTGCACGTTCAGAGTGCAATTACAAGCAATAAACACATTAATTCAGGGAGCCGGAGTAGATCTGGTACTTACAAATCATGCTCCTTATTCTGGGAGCGTTTTCTTAGCTCTACAGAAGCGTGGAGACGCTGAAATGGAAAAAAGCAATGCGTTACTACAGAATTGTATGTCGGCACCATTTGTTAATTATCCAAACGCTATGAGCCTTGTCAAGATAAATGTAATAACAATTTATCAGTGTGAAAGTAGCGTTCAGAAGCTGGTCCTCCACAAGTAAGGGGGACACGATATAGCCAGAATCCTTTTCCGAGTCCCTTTTTTCCCCTCCTCTAGCGTCAGAGTCATGGCTTACCCCTATACAATCAGTATACCGCTTTAAGATTAACAGACAGTAGCTTTTTTTTGATGCCACCTGACTGCTTTGGTTGCTTCTTTAATTCGACCTGATCCCCCTTATTAAGGATTTTATTGTCTGCTCTTTCAGGGCTCAGAATGAGTAAAGGAAGGAATTGCAATGATTAGTAACGCAGTTCTGTGTGTGGGCATAGAGATGCCTTAAAAAGCAGCATCACTGTAGAACTTCCACTTTATAATTAATTTCACCCTTAAATTCCCACATGATTTATCCTCTGAAAGAGAGCATTTAATTATAGTCTTACATCGGTATCCAGATACCAAGTAACGCTGACACGATTGGAGCAATTCATTGGAATTTCCTCTTTGAGATTTGAATATATGGAAAACAAGCATCACACACACATCTTTGTTTCATCTTTCTGTCATGTTCTTCGTCTCGTGGTACGTGACTCCGCATCTGGCATCCCCGCTTGCGGCTTTCACCATCCTCTCCTCCACGTGGAGGCTGCCTCTTCGAATAAGGTCGACGCATGCCTTCACGGTCAATTTTCCACGAGGCCATTCACACTGAGTAGCGCCTTCCTCCGCCGACAGGCTCAGCGTAAGGTAGATTCACTGCATCCCACAGATCCGAGGACGGAGTGACATGTCTGTACGATGCCGAGAGGTAGCACTGACTGGGCGACAGAGCATCACGGGTGCGTGTCAGCTGGCAGCCTCAGCTTCAGCTGGGGCCAACTGGCATGCCCAAGTCAAGTCAATGATGGATTTATGCCACTTGGCATCAGACCAGCGAGTAGTCCCCAGAACGCTTTGACATCTCAGGATTTTCTTCTTTACAAAGTGTAACAAGGATATGAGGAAATACCTTAAGAAGTTGTGCAAAAGACTGACTTGCTTTTATTACCTTGCGATGGCTTAATCACCATCTTTAAAGAAAACCTCTATTTAATAAGTACATAGGCCCAAGT